GACTCTAGGGATCATTTCCCAGCGCTCCTGGGCCAGGTCCCTCTTCCATAAATGAGCCACTGCCATGCCCTCACCTAGCTTCTTGGTGCATGGTCTGTGACTCAGAGTCCAGAAACAAGTGTGGATGGCGCAGACAACAGTTCCCAGAAGGAATCTCCTACCGAACCTTCCAAGAGGCTCATTAGCTGATCAGAACTTCAGTGACAATTGGAGAGGGTGGAATGTCAAGAGCCTAATTACATTTGTCTCTGACCATCTTTAGTGCCCTGAATGGCCATTTTTGCTGCCTCTGTGGTGGCCTTAACATCCCCTGAGTAACAGATACAAACTTTCTGGTGTAATAACTTAGATCATTAGCTTCCACCGACCCGTTAGTTAAGAATGTCACCAGACAGCATCCACTGCCTGTAATGGAGATTTTTCTGTTTTTCTGTAGTCTCTCTGATGTTTCCACACATGTATTGGTCAAGTGTGTTGATATATGACTTTCTTTGTTCTCTTCCTATAAAAGCTTCCTGAAATGGTTACTGTGTTGAAAGATGGACTTTGGGGTAACTCAAATCTGCATTCCTGGGCCTTGGCAGCTCCTGTTTGGCTCCAAAATAAACTCTGTCTTATCCCCTTTAAGGTGAGAATTGTATTTCTGTGTTGACAATGGTAACAAGCAGCTGCCTCCCTCCTCTATTTAGCCCAGGCTTGGATGTGCTGTCCACTCATGTGCTTCTTTGCCCCAGCATCGATTCAGCCACTGCCCCACGGGTGGAGGACAGGGCTCAGGCCAGCGGTCCACCCTGGCTGTGTGTCTCCTTTCTGTGAGGTTAGACCTAGCTCATCTCAGTAAAAGATAAGGACCCATGTCAAAACTGTAAACATTGGGCTCTGGTTCAAACACAGCAGGCAGATTGCTGCTCCCCACCCTCCCCCAATCTCCTAGAACCATATGTAAGACATTATTTGTTAAGGGGTGTGGCCAGCCAAGGCATCCATTTTCCTAGGCTTAACCCTGTCCTGTCCTAACCCTGCCAACAGCTTAAGCTGAGTCATGCGTGGGACTGTGATATTCTCTATTGGTAAACCATAAACTACATTTATGGTTTATTTTAATGCTAAAAGATCTGATCAAATCTTTAACTCAAACTTTATGCCTCAAACTGAGCAGGGATAGAGCTGTAAATCTCAATGTTATAAAAGTTGTATTAACATTGTAAACTGTTTAACATAATTAAGACTTGAAAGTTAATAAGTCCTAATAATCAAAGTCTTTATAAGCTATACTCATAATCATGATTAATTATAGAAACAGGCTTTATTTAGCCATTTATATGTGTTTTTTTCAAGTTTAAGCCTAAAATAAGGTAGACTTAATAAATACTTAAGTCTTCAAAGTCCTCAGAGATCTGCTGAATATGGAGGTTTAAGTGTTCAAAAGACACTCCCCACAATAAACAGAGATGCCTCTTAAAAAGAAAACTTTAAGGTCTCCAAAGAAACAGATGGGACACCACACTGGCAGCTTTACCTGGACTGTGCTGATGCTAACCACTGGACTAAACTGCCCTCGCCTCACCTGCTGACAGAAACGTGTTCAAAGTACAGACACTCTGGGTTCACTGTTGTACTCTGCCTCGTCAAACTAAGGACATTTTCCCCAAGTTCCTCCTCTACAGGAAAAATTCCTCAGACCTCAGAGGGCTGGCTGCTCTGTGGGACAACTGAAGATTAAATGCTGTTCTTCTCTGACAGCTGAAGACTGGCTGCTTCGGCAATGAACCACGTGAGCCTCAACTGACTAAGTAAGGCTCTGCCAGTTTAGTTGGTACAAAAGCCATTTAAATTAGACTTCCTACTAAAATTAATCCTTCACAGGACATGGATGACTAACTGTAGCTTTAACAACAGCAAACTAGTCAGCTGCCTGGTAAGTCTGCTCCACATGTGAGCTTGTCTGTGCTGCCCCAATTTGTGCATCAGGTTCCCCGGCCAGTGTGTGTCAGTCAACAGGGTATAGCAAGAGAGAGAGAAAGAGAGAGAGAGAGAGAGAGAGAGAGAGAGAGACAGAGAGAGACAGAGAGATAGAGAGATAGAGAGATAGAGACAGAGACAGACAGAGAGAAAGAGACAGAGAGAGAGAGACAGAGACAGACAGAGAGAGAGAGAGAGAGAGACAGAGAGACTGATCAAGTCTCCTTTATTGAAGAAAATCATATAAGCACAAGCAGGGGAGTGCAGCTGAAGACACTTTACCACTTGTGCCTTGTAGTTGGGGAAACTAAACAACAAAACAAGATCTGTGAGAAAAACAAGATGTTTATCAGAGTCTGCTCAGCTGTTGCGGGCTGTTGAAAAACAAGTCTCTTGTCAGGGTATATGGCCCAAGATGGCTGCAAACATGTTAGCCGCTTTCTGTTTGGAGTCGGCTCCCAACACATGTGCACAGTTCACCTTGCTGACAGGTTTCATGCTGAGGAAGATTTAGAGTTCCTGCAAGTCTAATAAAGTAACTTAAAGTATATAATCACTAATCAAAGAAATAACTCAGGACCAGTCTAAAAGTCCCTCTCAGTTCCTGTGAGGACTGCTCCTCTTCTGGATGCATACCAAAGACCCTCCTCCTCCTTTCCAACCCCACACCTTCTCCCCTCAGCCAGCCTCCGAGGCCTGACATCCATCATTCAGTTTCTTTTATACAAACAGCTTCTACCCCTCAGTTCCTCTCCGTTATTAACAGTCAGAACCCATGAAACCTCATCCTTGGTCCAGGACCTTCCCTCCATTGCTGCTGCTCCTCCACACACAGAGTCTCTAACCCGATCCTCTCCATTATCCCTGACCACACCACTCGCTTTTCAGTTCTAAATCTTAAAGATGATTTCTTCTCGTTATCCTGGATGTCACTCCCAAGGCCTTTTGTCTTTACATAGATGGATCCTGACATTCAATACTCACGACCCTGACCAGGACTGTCCCCCTGCTTCAGTGTATAGATGCCCTCCTCCTTTGCAGGCCTTTCCTCTCTGCTAGCCAATCTGACCCTGCCTCATTCCTAAATTTCCTCCTGGTTCCAGAAGTCACCAGATCTCTCCTTCCATGGCTCAACTCTCCTCTCCCCAAGTCACTGACCTGGGATTCTCTCTCGTGCTGACCCATAAGCACATCACTTTACACCACCTTGACCATCTCCACTCCTGACTGCTGCACTCATGGACAATTTCCTCCATGCAGCCATCCCTAAATACTCACTCCTGATCCAGTCCCTGTAGCAAGCCACTTCTGGATCTCCTCATGACCACCTTCCTCCCACCCACAATTTCTTTAACTTAAAACATTCTCCGTTCTGCCCCCGCCCCACCTCCCAAATCTGTGCAAACCTTTCCATCCTTACATTTCCAAATACATAAACACATCCTAGACTGAACTTTGCCCCTGTTTCCTCCTCTCTAAGACACAGCAGCATCCAGAGCTGCCCCCTTTGTCTACTCTCTCCCCGCAGCCTCTCTGCTCACAACCTAATGGACACACTCTGGGGTCCCCTCACAATCTATCCTACTCCTCTCTCCCTCAACTCCTAACTTAAAAAAGACCTCAGTCCCTTCCCCTGTTTCAGATTCTATCCCTACAAAGTTCTTTTATTGAAAATTCATCACTCACAGTTCTGACCTGTCCTCCCTCTGGTTTATTAGTCATGGTTCTCTAGAGTCACAAAACTTATTGGTAGTCTCTATATGGTAAGAGGATTTGTTGATGACTTACAGCCTATAGTCCAACTCCCCAACAATGGTCATATGTGAATGGGAAGTCCAAGGATCTAGCAGTTGCTCAGTCCCATAAGGCAAGCAGCCATAGAAGAGAGAATCTTCCTTCTTCCAATGTCCTTACGTAGATCTCCAGGAGAAGGTGTGGCCCAGATTAAAGGTGTGTGCCACCCTGCCTGGATCTGGGACTTGCTTTGTACCAGATGACCTTGAACTCAGAGATCTCCTTGCCTTAGTCTCCTGGGATTCATAGCCACTATGCCTCAAGATCTCCATGCCAAGATCCAGGTCAGAAACTTGTATCTCCCAGCCTCAAGATCAGGATCACAGGTGAGCCTTCCAACTCTGGGTTGTAGTTCATTCCAGATATAGTTGACAACCAGGAGTAGCCACCACACTCCGGTCTCTACACTCACCTCTTTGTCTTAGTGTTCCCCAGATCCTCTACACTCCATTGAAACCTCTCAAAGGCCTTTCTCCCCGTCCTCTCCTACCCAAGAGGTCCTCTAGCCACTTCTGCCTACAATTTCATACAAATGGCACCTCCTTCCTGTCAGAGGCCACAGCAGGCAGACCACTCCATTATCAGTAAAGACAATAGTCACATGGACAGAAGAGCTCTTCCAGCTGCCCTTTCATCCCTTAGGACTCACCCCACTTCCCTCCAGGCTACCGTACTCCATGACCCAGGTAACAATTGACCTAGGCTTTCCTCAACACAGGATCCTCCCATAACCTCTGCTCTGTGTACTCATCCACACTCTCTCCTGATCCCTCAAGGTCACCTGGGGTGCACAGTCTCCTCTCTCTCCTCTCACCCCTACTTTTCCTCTGCCTAAATAATTGCCAAACATCCACTGACTTCCCTAAATTTATGAACTGTTCTTAGACATAACACCCCCATTCCCAATTACAATAACTAAACCCCAAGCCATTACCTCTCTGACACACACAAACACACATGCACACACACATGCTTACTCCCCCCCCCTTCCCGGCTCTTTCTCTCTCTGTTTCTACTCCCTCTCGGCTCCCCTTCCCATGTACCGAAACAAAATCTATTCTATACAATATCGAACACGTGGCTGGCACCTGGTACCTCAGGGAGAAGGGATGCCTCAGCATGAGCCTGCAGAGTCACCCCTCCCACCTCACCATACCTGGCTCTATAAAACATATCCTAGTCTCTTTTAAAATACAACACTATGAGATATGCAGGTGGGAGAGCTTAGATATTACCCAAATTACCAGGAATCTTCAACAGGCAGTCCTCAGCTGTGTGGACCCAGTGACCATCTGTGCATCCAAAGCATACCTAAATGCTGTCTCCTGCTTATATACTCAAACTAGAAAATGAAAGAGAAAGCCCCACTTACAAAGAACTCACCACCAAAACAACACAGGAAACTTGTGGCTTGCTGGATGTTACAAACTCATTCCATGCTCCCTGCTGACCCACTCAAAGGAGTGACCTTTGTCATGTCATTCTAGGTTCTTCTTGGCTGATCCCATTGAAAATGGGGGTATCTGTAGTCTGTATGGAAAAGACCTGCTTCTACAGACTAGGGGACTCTCCAAAGGTCACTTCCTGCACCTCCTGGGCTCCGTTCAGTTCCTTCTTCCTCACCTGCAGCCCCAGCACTACCCCAACCTCTTGGGTCCTGTTGATGTTGATTATAGTGCTTCTCCAGGATGCAGTGCACAGTGTCTGGACATCTGCTTGCATGGGTTCTCCTATCAGGACCTCTGAACCTGGACCCACTAAATATCACATCCTCTCAGTGGAATAGGCTCCTAGACCTTAGGAGGCCCTCAGACCTAAGCTCAACTGAGTCCATGATTGAAGAACCATTCAGGATGTAAACTTCAGCATATAGACAGCACCACATAAAACATGAAAACAAAGACCTAGTCCATCAAAGTTCATAGTGCTGGGAAAGTATCTGAATGTACTAACCTTGCTTTTTGGCTTTTATAGTTCCATTTCTGGCTAACTGTTCTTGTTAACAGAAGCATGTCAACTTAGGATATGGTTACTGTGCTTAACACCTTACCCTAAGAAGAGTGTGGGATTCTGAACACTGTTGTAGTTGCTGGCTGGCTAATAAATACTTTCTATTGGCTCTAACCCATGTCTGAGTAGCCATCTCTAGTGGCTATCCCATAACATTACTAGAAGACCCACAGATATTTGCAGAGCAGGCAAGAGTATAATGTCCAAGAATCTCCTAAGTTCTGTGATCTGAGATGTTCCAGGTCCTTTTGATCAACCTTTGTCTAATGCTTGAGAGGAGTCTGACACTTCCACCCCAAAAAGAAACAAATTGGAAAGTCATCTGGAAGCCTGGTCAAGGCTCCTTCTGTTTTGGACATAAAGAGAGGCTTGATATGGCCATGGATCCAGTATCCCGGATGTGTGAGACATCACTAGACTTCTTTGGTCAACTCAGGTGTAGGAATGTGTGGTGTCCACCTCTGGTTTTCTTTACTGCGTGTCTCTATGCATTTCTGTCAGTTCTATTTCCCTGTATTGACAAATGGCTTTCTTGGGTGTGAGGCCTCACCTCATCCCCAACCTTATGACATGTGTCCTCCTTGTATGGGACTTGAATTTTTTTGGTCATCCAGGTCATCCAGAAAAACCCTCAAATCTTCGCCTTTCCCATTCCCAGTGCATTTGCTTGCTTTGGTGCTTGACTCCCAATCTAGGGCTGAGGCGTACCCATTCCCTGTGTACAGGTGGGGAGGGGATGGGCTTCTTATGCAGGGGGGTGGTCTGCCATCTGAGCAGAATACACACAGGGAGGAAAAATACTTCCAAAGCCACACACTGCCTCTGCTCCCCTGCCTCACCACCCTCTCTAAGCAGCCCCTGGGAATGGGAAAAATTCTCTTGGGCAAAAGAGGAAGTTCCACTTCTTCCTCTCTTGTAATTCATGTGAACTTCCCAACAAGTGATCTGCACAATTGGAAAACTCAAAACCTACAATCGTCAAAAAAAAAGTAGAAAAATCACCCTGAAAAATTGTGGGCTAAGGGGTCAGTGCTGGGCCATGCAACCTGCACAGAATGAATTTTCCCTTCTGTCCAACACTGAATGACCAAGGAGTCTTTAAATAGTTTTAGTGGGTCCTTTTTAGGGAGATTGAAAATAGCTGCTGCAAGATTTTCTCTGTTATCCAGTTAGACCTAGAAAGTAAAAAATAGTTATAAAAGTTAGAAAAACGTAAAGGCATAAATAGATGATACTGGCTACAGGTCGCTCAGTTGACAATACAGAACTGATTGAGAGACAAGACCTTTTGCATAAACTGAATGCTGCCGGCACCAACTCTGATGATGAGACAGTTGGATTTACACATACCCTGCAAAACTTTGGTGTCTTGCCCTCTGTCAGAAGAAAATGTTCTACCTGAATGTCCTGCCTCCAATTAAAATATACAGTTGAACTATCTCTCACATTGACAACAAAGTTTCTTGGGGGTATAGACAGAAACTAACCTGTTAGTCCTGGCCCCACACCAAGTTCCTATAATTGTTCAACTAAACCGTTCAGCCACCTGCATCCAGATTAAACAATACCCAATGAGCCTGGAATCACAAAGAGAAATTGCAGTCCATACTGCCTGGTTTAGAAAGATCTGCATCCTGGTGCCTTGCTAGTCACCCTGGAACACACCTCTCCTGCCTGTGAAGAAACCTCAGACCTCTGATTCTCATGAGTCTGGTTCTTCCAGAGAAACAGGAGTGCTCTACCTTGAATGTGAAAGCTGAATTCTTAAGCTTCACATGTACCAAAGTGAGACAACCATCTTTAATTTTACATGGATAGGCCCTTAGGGAGACTGTAGTATGCAATTTATTTGAACAAGGTTACCCCAAGGATTTAAAAATTCTCTAAACCTGTTTGTTGAGACACCTAATGGTGACCTCCTGCCTGTCCTTGTGTCAGAGTCTTTCTGGGATCACACTCTTACAATATGTAAATGACATCCTCTTAGCCTCTAAAACTACAATAAATTATAAAGGGGCCACTGAGGGACTGCTGCAAGAGTTACAGACCTTGGGCTGCAGAATGTCAGCTAAGAAAGTCCAACTCTGTACACCCAGAGGCTTTCTATCTTGGCTACCAGCTGAGGAGAAGAAAGAAGAGTCTGATTCAGAAGCCATCCTTCAGATCCCAACTCCAAAGACTAAGAGACAAGTTTGTTCAAGAGTTTCAAAGTGTGGCTTGTTATTGCTGCCTCTGGATATCAGTGTTTGCAGAAATAGCAAGACATAAGCACAACAGAGGAGTGGTCACTAAGCCCCTAATCCAGACTGATATTAAACAAAAGGCATTTGAGAGTCTGACTTCAAAACAGCTCTCACTTCAGTGCCAACCCTAGCACTTCCAGCTGTCTCCAAACCTTTTCACCTGTTTGTCCATGAAACAAAACACATTACAAAAGGTGTTTTAACCCAAACGTTGGGGCCATGAAAACTCTGTGACATACCTGTCCAAACAATTGGACACTGTAGCCACAGGATGGCCCACCTGTCTAAGGTCTATGGTGGCTACCAGTAATCTAATAAACAAACACAAGAACAACAACAAAAACAAAACCAAGTTAGCTCTGGGTCAGGATCTTATACCCACAGCACCCCACACTGAGTTTGGGCTCTCCTCTGAGCAATCCCAGAATGCTGGCTGTCCAATACCTACATATCCAGTACCAGTCCTGCTCCTGGACCACCTTCAAGATTTCAGAAACCCTCCACCTTCAACCCTGCTACCTTTTCCCCTGATAACAACACACAACTCTTCATGCATGACTGTCTTGAGGTGGAAGGTGAAAGCAGGTACGTGTTGCCCAGAGTACTAACTTTAACTGAAATGTTTTTATCCTAAGTCAGGATCATCAACCCAGAAAGAAGAACTGATCAGTCTAAGGCAGGTTCAGATAGGGAAATGAAAGTTCACCACCATATATGCAGACAGTTGCTATGAAACATGAGTGACCATGTTCTCTAGTTTACAGTGATTGTTGGCAGTGTTTCTTCTGATGAATTCCCTTGCTCTGACTCTCCTCCTTTTCCAGCATGACTTTATCTAGACAGAGAACATCACAGTGAGATGCAGGGATGTGAAAGGGTCCACATGAGCTGCAGGCCAGCAGAGATGTGGATCCTCTGCTGAGTGCAGAATAGACTGGAATGCCTGTGGACTCTTGAACAGACTCAGGGTTGAGCAGCAGGATGGAGCTGCAGACTCACGTGGTGGGGGAGAGGAGTAAGGCTCTCTAACCCAAGATTCATGAACAGAGCCCATCCCACCTGGACATCCTGAAGATCTGCTCTAGGTCAGCTGAGCTTGACCAGTGACATGACAAGAATGGCCACTTAGGTGGCTGTCACATAAGAGTTGGGCTGATCTAGGGGCAATTTAAGCCCAGGGAATGTGACCCTGAGGCAGTGGGAAGTATTTGCTGAAGGAGCTAATTAATTAACTAATTAATTAGGAGGACGTGTGTTCATTCTGGCATCTCTTAGTGGAGGGGTCAACAGCCAAGAAGTGACCATTGTGGTTACATGGTGACAGTCAGCTCACTGGAGACAAGGCTTGGCCCCAGAACTACACTCACCTGTCAGCTCTTCTCCCTTTTCTGGGGGCTAGGATCTTCTAATTGAACAAGGGACTTGGTGGTTTCTGAAATTGTCTACGTGACCAGGATAGAAAATCCTTCCAGGACTGCAAAGCATAGAGAAGAGAGTAAGCAAGCTGTGCTGACAGCCCTGGGTGACTTCCTGGGTGTAGAAGGACAGCCACTGCTCCCAGATAATCATCATCTGGCCACTTGTCTTTGCTCATTAGGTAAAAAGTCATGCCCTAGATTACAATTGTTAGTTTCAAGAAGGTTCCAAGTTTTAGAGTCCAGCATATATATCACTTCTTGGCCTCTGGCCCCTAACCGATTGTAGAGCTGCAGGTAAAGATGACAGAATCTAACCCATAAGTGTATTATTTTTGAGTTGATGCACAGATAACTTTGTCCTCAGTTTGCTGCATGAACCATCATCAGAAGCATCACACACATTTGCTGTATGAACACAGTAGCTTTGGGATGGGAGTTTAAAATGGGATGAGTGATTGATTCAGAAACCCTGGAAATCACAGAGAAGACTTTCTGCTGATGAACGCAGAAGTAGCCAAGAACATCCCGCCAGAGAGAGGATGCAGTATCGTGTTCAGCCGATTCCTGAGTGGGAGAGGGGAGAAGAGGCAGGTGGTCAGGGATGGGTTATGAAAATCACCTCACCAGGAAGCTCTGCAGCATGTGTTAAAGGTACAACTG